GAATGGTCATTAACTGCTGGTGGGATTGCAAACTCGTGCAACCTCTATGGGAAACAGTGTGGAGAACTCTTAAAAAACTAAACATGAACCCACCATATGACCCAGTTATACCACTCCCTGGCATATACCCAATGGACTCATCCTATTGTAGAGACACTTGTACAACCATGTTTGTTGCTGCTCTTTTCACAATAGCTAAGAGATGGAAGCAACCTAAGTGCCCCTCAACTGACAAGTGGTTAACAAAAATGTGGTATATTTACACAATAGAGTTCTATTCATCAGTAAAGAAAGATGAAATAATGAAATTTTCAGGTAAATGGATGGATCTAGAAACTGTTATACTAAGTGAAGTAACACGGACTCAGAAAAACAAACACTGTATGTTCTCCCTCGTATGTGGGTCCTAGCACCAAATCATTTTAAATTCCAGGTCCTTTTAATAAGATGATGCTATATAGCAATCCCTTCTGCATGAAATAACTTCCATCATGATGACTTCATCTGAGCCTGATCGCTAAACATTGTCACAATTAGGCTTGTTGACGGTTGTGCTCATTCACTAAAGCAGGGCCAAGCAGTGTCACTGGACCCTTACTGGAGTATCTAGCCACTCTTTCCAGCCAACTGTATGTAATTTGACCCTAATTACACATGGCCTCCCAGATTTGGGGAGGGCTAAATTATACAATCTACAGAAGGCTAGGAAGAGAAGGCATGACCCTTGCTGGGTAAAGGCTTTCCAGTGTGCATACCCTCAGGTCATACATACACCTCAGCAGCCCCAGTTATCTGGGTAAGTAAGCTCAATAAATTCATTGTTTCCCCAGTAAAACTTTAATGAAACATTGGCTTGACACTAGAACCTTAAAGGGGAATAAGCATTGCTTAGCATCCCCAGGAAAAGAAGTTTCATAACCGATGGAAAATTTGTCAATGCTATTATGTCTCATAATTATTTAAAAAAAGAAAAGAAGAAAATTAGTATGTAAAAGATGTTGAAAGGATATGGGAATGGAGATATCTTCCAAAATAGAAAAAAATGAGAATGTCTACGCAAGAGACAAAAATAATATACACAT